TTCTAGACAATTCAGATGCAGCTGTTTTAAAGACCAGCACTTGTAAATACCTGGTTTTCAAATTTTCCAAGTAACTGATGTAACTGAGGAAGTAAACACTCGGTTATCTATATACATGGAAGGAGTTGCTGAAGACTTTATAAAAATGGTAATTGAAGAAATGAGTTTGAATATAGGCAGCGTTTGTGTGTTATTTTGCACGGACATGGAAGACATCCCCGAAGCATGTGCTCATCCCTTCAGCCTGCTCCCCATTCCCAACTTCTACAGGAACGTTTTCCTCTCTTCTGCTGAGTAGACCCTGTCTATGGTCTTAAGAATAACTTCTTCAGCTCTTAGTCAATAATTCACCCCTCAGCAGAACTGAATTCCTCCCATGTCAGTTCACCATCATTCATATCTTCAGTTGCTCCAGAGGTGCCAAGACTGCTAGCCAGAATCCATAGCAAAGGAAAATGACAACGTATCACTATTAGATTACTAAGTTACTAAATTAATTGTTAAATATAGCTAATTGTTACTAGTTTTGAAGCCAACATTTCTAGCAATAACTAGGTATTTTGAGAAGGAAAAGGATACCTTGGAGTTTTGATTGGAGGTGGTTTCAGCTTCAAAATATTAGTAGCCTAAAAGCCTCAAGAACATTACATTTTACCACAAACAGTATTGCAAACAATAAAAGATGGATCAATATTCTTGAGTCATGTGAACAGAAAGAGCTTCTGAGTGAGAAAAGAGAAGATATGTACCGTATGAGCAGGGAGAGTTTCAAGACGGAAACTACCATTCCGTTCCTCTTACGATGAGGTACAGATTGGTTTAGGGAATCCAGCAAATATGGCATCTGCTCTCAGCTCTCTAGAGATTATGCATAGAGAAAACAGCAAGTCTCTCAGAAGCCTTGGTGCCTGAAGGAGAGAACAGGAAACCAGGCTCCTACAGCTTCAGGATTATGCAAGAATGTTAAAAACTGTTCAGTGCTATTGAGACACATAGAAAATTACTTGATGCCAGTTAAACAGAAGACCCAATGCTATTATGGGCTACTGGACTCTTTTAGAATATTTTGCTGAGTTTACACACCTATAATATTCAAATAACGGAACTTAACAAAAAAAGGGTATACAGATGAATGTCCATTTTGTATCTGTGTATGCATAGTGGTTAGGATAGATATATAGTTACATTCTCTTCATGAACAGAATGATTTGTTCTAATGGTGTTTGTAAATAGGATCTCAAGTCCGCATCTTGTACAGCAATTAACCACTAAGAAGAATGTATGCAGTGTGTTAATTATTGAAACTATCCTACCAACTTGATTTGAAACTGTCTTATTGCTACTTGTTTATTGATAAAATTATGGGAAAAAAAGAAAGAAAATTACTTGAAAGATGGCCAGTGGACAAGAAGGGCTTCAGAAAGAAAGAAAGAAAAAAGAAAAACAAAATAAAATGTGTGATTAGTCAATGTCGTATAGATCCTATAGTAAAGACAGAAAGAGAATCAGCCCCCTAAAGTACATGAGGAATGCTTGTCAGTAGATGTCAGCAGAGGCCAGAGCTTGAAGCACCAGAGGCTCTTCTTCCAATACCCAGGATAGAATATAATCCTGTACATCACCTTTCTAACCTATGAGGCCAGTCCTAAGGGAGGTGGAACATGATGGACTTGAAGACAATGAACTAGTAGTGTTTGGTTTAGTTAGGTCGAACTTTTACAATGACACGGAAAGTCTTGCAGAAGTCTGCCTCCAACTTGCCTCTCCCATGATGTGCCTTTGATTTCTATACATAGGCTTCCCAGGCAGTTTTCACTCTTCATAAACACATCTACATCTTTCCTTCAGCATATTTTCTAATAACAGCTCTCCTGAGCCCTTTGAAATTCTTCAACAGTATCTTCTTTATGTTACTAACTCCTAACACACTGCCTCACTGCCTAGTCAAGACGCTTAGCCAATGCTTGTGAGCCAGAGCAGGAGCTGAAGGGGAAAAAGTGAATGAATGAAAAATGAACAGCTAAAACCTCCAGAGAATTGCCTCCCTATTTGACATTTACCTCAACTCCCAAGAAAAAGTAAGGTCCCAATTTATTTTTCTAGGAAGAATTTAGAAACCATACCGACATTTTTAAACTCCTATGATGTAGCATCACTTATTACCATTTTATATAACATAAAGATAATATACTCTAGGCCGGGGAGATGGCTCAGTGGAATAAGTGCTTCCCTGGCAAGCAGAAGGGCCTGAGTTCAATCCCCGGTTCCGCCAAAAAGAAAAAAAAAAAAAAGATAATATACTCTAAAGTGGCAGTAATTGGTGTTGCCCTATGTTTGCATTTTGCATGTATACATGATCACCTCCAAGAGTTTAGACCTCTTGAAATTCATTGCACTTATGATGAGGGTTAAATTAGGTGATTAAATATAAGCTCCTATACCAGTATCTTTCCCCAGTTTTTCACAGTTCTAGCCAAATGGGGAGAGGGAGGAGTAAGATAAGATAGCAGATACAACAAATTTGTATCATGTTGGAGGCCTCAGGTACTTGTAAATACTGAGACAATAGCTGAGTTTAGTGACATTTGACTCCTCTTTTGTAAGAGCAGGGCACAACAAACTTTCAGGGCCATGCTTCCTGCTGCATGGCATTAAAGCCAGCCAGAGTGGGCCATGCCAGGGAAGGAGTATGTGTATCATAATTTTCAGGGCAATTGTGTTACCAGCTCTTACCCTAATGACTTACTGCATAAGCAACATTTAATAAGTTTAAGTGGGTGATACTTAGGAAAATGTCTGTAATCAGTCTTGGTAATCTTGGTACTTTAAGGATGTTAAGTCTGGTGAACAATTTTCTATGTCTTTTTTAACCACAAGAACCACTACTCATGTTAAGTTTTTCTTACTTATTTTATTTTCCCTTAATTATAAGCCCTAAGCAGATGACTGATTTTGGAAACAATAAACAAAGTACTACACTACACAGTGGTTTTAAAATAATATTATGAGACAGTCATTGATCAAAATAGATAATGATTTTGATACAAAAATAAAGACTTTTATATTTCAGGAAATACATATTTTTATACTTACAGTATATTTATATTTGCCTTTTTTGTTAACTTTTTGTCCTAGCAGCAACAATATAATCTTTTACCTATTTTCCCCCAGCCATCAAACATTTGATCTGTTCACCATATTTGCATTGTTTTTAAATATTTATCAATAGATGTAACATGCTCCTTATTATATTTTATTACTTTCACTTATTTCCATTATATTCACATGCTAATAGAAGGAAACAGTAGGGTATATCCTTGTTGTATGACTTAAATATAAATTTTCTTACTAAAGATGTCTAAATTTTAGGGTTAATGGATAAATTCCCACTAGAAAATGTCTTTTTTTTTTTTTTTTTTGCAGAACCAGGGATTGAACTCAGGCCCTTGCACTTGACAGGGAAGCACTTATTCCACTGAGCCATCTCCCTGGCCCTAGAAAATGTCTTATTAATTTCAGTTTTATACTGATTATCTTTGTGTTTTATTCATGAGTAATGAATCATTTTCTAGTGTAAACATGAAATTTAACTTTGAATGGATTGAAAAATATTTTCCCATACTAATTTTTTCCATGAGTTACTTTAGTTTTGAATAATTTGTGCATTTATACATGCTATAATGATGAATTTAGCTTACACAATTCTGTTTATTCTTAGCATACTTATTTTTTCTGTTAATGAAGATAGTAATAATATTGTCACAAATATATAATTAGACCTCCAGAATTCAAAAGCTTATTTGTTTCTTGGTGTTCACTGGCAATAACCTATTTCTGAAGCTATTTTCTACAGTCCGGAAATATACTTTCTTTTAAAAATTTTATTATATAACTTTATTAAGCTGTTCATTAATCCACCTCTTCATAAATAAATGGAAATAGCCACTGATTAAAAAAAGAGAAGGATTTTTTTAATTTAATTTAATTTAATCTAATTTTAATTTAATTTTTTAAAATTCCCTTCAAATAAATTTCTGTGGTGATGAACAAGCCAAATTATCAGGAACAGAAAGCCAAGGCCACTCACTTCTCACCTGATGGTTTCTAAATTCTCCCCTGGAATCACAGCACAAAGGTTGACAGTTTCCTGTGAGGATTAAAGACTTACTCAGGATGTGCAAAGAGGGTTATGGATCTCTTCCATAGCCCCCGTTTTTTCTTAAAGGCTATTTGTCTAGCTCAGACTGTCCTCTTTATTATTGAATTCCTCTAAGTAGGAGAGTGCCTGTCAAGTTTCTTCCTTGTACCTCTAGCCAGAAGCCACTGGCGACTTTCACCTCAGCACCCTTTGACCTCAACAACTCTTAGCAACAGGCAACCCGAGACTTGGCCGTGACTGAACTCGAATCAGTCTGATATGGCTCCTCTGGCTCCGGGAGAGGCTTCCTTTAACATGCTATATGTGGTGCTATCTCTTAATTTTTCCCAGTTTATAACATTTTCCTATTTTTTATCTATGTCATCATGCTCTCAATTAACTCAAATACAGATTTGTTATTTAGACCCATTTTGGAAATCAAAGAATATAATGCCAATGACAGTGATAACTTCTGTAAAATATCACAGTTTCATTAAATAAAACACACAATCCATAACTTTCAGATAAACAACTTTTAGCCAAATCCACATTGTCATAATCCAGACAGCAATTACTTCCACCTATTGCTTTTCCTTTTTATTCCAATTTAAATTTTTTCATTATTTTCTAATTATATACTGTAAACTAGGCAAGCTCTATACTGTTTCTCAGATTATTCTTTAATGTCTCTGTCACTCTAAAGACATTTTATATGAATATGTTTCTGTAGTAAATCTATGGAAACTTTAATCAACTTATAATACCCAAAACATCTCAGATATTTCCAATGCTATTATAAGTTACACAATACATCTCTCAGCATCTCCATTTAAATGAAAAACAGTTAAAATAAATACCTTACCCCAAAAGTTTTCTGGCCATGGGATCTCTAAACGTGTTGTGTTATTAGCCATAATACCCGTAAGACAGAAAAGCCAGTAAGTCCAAAAGAAGCAGTTTGATTCTAGCTTGTCTCTGTAGTTCAGTAAAATAATTTGGACACAGCCCCTCGTATACTTGTGTTTGCATTAAAGGAAGTAAGTGTATCATGTTTCCTGCTTTTATACTCAAATTAGCAACTGTTCTTCTTATCTTGGAATTCCACATGGTTCCTGAGACACAAAACTATTTCCTTCTCGTCATTTCCTCAGTCAAGCTAAAGACCTCCTCCCAGACACCTCCAGAGCTGTGCCTGGGCGGGATTCTTTCTGTTGGTACAGTCCCCATCCCCTACTGGCAGATGCAGGGACAGGCGCTCAGCCAGAGACTTTTGTTAAACTTGTAGCATTAGAAATGGAATGATGCCTGATGTCTGAAAATTATATTTATACAATAAGTGGGGAGTGAGGGGGCTAGTCAGAATTTCCTACTGCATGAAGTGCAATTAATCTTCACTTGACAATCTCAGTTGCCTATGAAAATTCTTAGTATTTCCATTTCTTATTTCCTATATTAAGTTTAAAAAGATAGTTAATTAATTTCATAAATATTTGAGGATAGCTTAGATGTAAATTTGCTACCCTTTTAATTGGTGTTTAAATATGAAAAAATGGTTTTCACACTGACTAAATCCATCTAAATCAGAAAATGGGACTGTAAATGCAAAGCTTCCAATGACAAATGACCAGAGGGACTTGTTATTCAGGGACAGGTCTGGCAAAACTAATAGAAGAGTTACACAAAACATTTCTGAGGATGTAGGTCAGGTAAAATTTCTAGGGCTGGGGAAATAGCTCTGTAAGCACCTGCCTGGAAAGCACAAGGTCCCAAGTTTGATTCCTGATATTGCAACAATTGTTAATTAATTAATTAATTAATTAATTAAATTTCTAGTCTTTGTCCTTGACCTTCACTAGTGTAGAGTGGATCCTCCAAACATTCAAGACTGTTTCAAGTGGGAAGTGTAGTTCAAACTACACGTAATAAATACACAAAAATGTGCTCAGCGACTTGTTTTTCTCAACTTTTTAAAATCTCTAGCATACTCACTAGCATGAACCTGTTGTGACTAAAATCTGGTTTCAAGTGAGGCAAGAGTTCACCTTGGTGAAGTCTGTAATGTATTCCTGAGAACATCCAGACATTCAGAAAAAAATGATTGTTCACGTATATTAATTTGTACATTAATACAAGTCCTTCTGAAGTCCTAATTCTTTAAAAGTACAATTGTTTCCGCTTAGTTTCTCCATTTTTATGGAAAACTATGCATGTGTTGGAAATTAAAATGTACACAGGTGACAATTTAAAATAGAGAATGACAGTGGAATGGAAAATTTAGAAAATCGGCTTTAAAAATATGAAGGTTTACCCATAAGATGTTTTTCCTAAACTTTGTTTCTACTTAATCTGCTAAATAATCATATTGTTAGATAAGACAGGCAAAAAGGATTCATAGTACAGTTACCTCCACTTTTAGTCTTATTGTGAAAAAGGTTTGTAAAACTAAAAATACTTAAAGCATGCTATTTCTGAGAAAAATATAATTTAGATAAAAATATATTGAAATGTTATTCTTTTGCTTTTCTAAAAATTTAAGATGCTTCAATTGCTATATGTGTTTCTAAATATATATTTTGTATGATGAAAGGATACCTAATTTCAATACATCCTAATTTCAAAACTGCATATAGCTACATAAAGTGCTAATCTGGCTGCACTTACGAGTAGAATGGAGGACTCTGGCTTTGTGTCAACTGCCCAGCCCACTCCCTCTCAGGGCTGGATGCAGGCTGAGATTTCCTTTCATTGTTTTGTGTTTAGTGACCAAGATTTTCTACCAGTCAATTTTCACTTTTGCAGATGGTCAAAACCCTAAAGGAAATGTGTTTTCTGTCAACTTGTGACCAAGGTGTTTTTCTCTCTTTTGTTCAGAGTTGATTGATAGTGCTGGCAGTTATCTCTGCATGGAATTTGCTTGGTAAGGATTCATACTTTTCCCTGGCATAGATCCATCTAATCCTGTGTTTATGTCGATGTGATGTTCAAGTCCTGTGGCTTGTCATGCCATAACAGGAAGTTGATTTTCATCTTTACAAAATGTTAGGTCTGTTTTTCTACTATTCATTATCTTATAAGTTAGAGCCCCAGTCCTCATCAAACGCATATGAAACTTTGTTTTGAACTTAGATATTCAAAGAACCTGTTGTCTTCACTCAGGTCGCTCTGCCCAGAAGGTGTCTCCTCAAGAGGAGACATTCACTGACCACCTGGTCCAATATGTCCTATCTAATTATTCTTTGTCACTCAACCCTCTGTTATTGCTCTCTTCAGAGCACTTTTTCTTCCCTGAACTTATGCCATCCATGTGTCTTAGTCTTTTCTAATTACTATAGCAAAATACCATAAACTATGTGGCTTTCCAACAATAGTTATTTATTTCTTACAGACTAGAGGCTAAAAAGTCAAAGCTCAAGGCCTTGGGAGACCCAATGCCTGTTGAGGGCTGGCTTCCTGCAAGTGAGCTACCTTTCCATCTGTGGATAGGCAGAGTTGCTCTCAGCGGCCTGCATAAGAGCACTAATTCTGTTTCTGATCTACAGCTTTCTTATGGTCATTCTGTGACTTTTCCTCCTAATACCATCATCTTTGTAGATAAGGATTTCAACATGTGAATTTTTGGGAGACATAAATATTCAGAGTATATCAATAAGCTTCGGTTTTTGGGTTTTTAAAACAGAAGCCAATTTCACGTGGATAGGAACTGTTGTGATCTGGATGCTTTCATTGTGTCCCTCAAAGTTCATGTGTTGGAAGCTTGATCTCCAATGCAACAGTGCTGAAATTGAAGAGCATTTAAGAGATAGATGGGGTGTAGTGGATGGTTACAAGGTCAGTGTGGTCTCCAACATCGTACATAGAGTAATTCTGGGCTCACAGAATAGGTACTGTTTCATAGGAATGAGACAGTTCTCATGAAAATGAAGAGCTATAGAAAGAGCAAAACTGGATAGGGCTGGTGAGATAGCTCAGCGGACTAGGAGCCTACTTAGGCGAGTGCAAGAACTAGGTTCCATCCCTTGTACCACATGCTGCACTGGCCCCGTCCTTGAGCACACTGAGCCAGCTACCAAGTTCAGGTGTGGAGGCGCACGCCTGTAATCCCAGTGCTAGGATCACTACCAGTCCAAACCGCATAGTGAGACCCTATACCAAATACATTAAAAAAAAAAAAGCCCCTCCTCTTTCGCATCAGCATATTATCTTCTCTACATGTGTCCCCACTGCTATGATGCCACCAGCTATGAAGCCCTCAACAGGACCAAACAGATGTGGATGCCATGCTGTCCACTCTCCAGAACTGTGAGTTTAATGAGCCTCTTGCCTTTACAGTGCACTCAGTCTTAAGTATTTTATTATATCCATACAAAGCCAACCAAGAGAGGGGCTTTGTTGGTTTTTCTCAGTCTGTACCTCTAAAATGACACCTGATCAACAGTGGAATCTTTTAAAATATTTCTTTCATAAGGGAACATAGTGATTTGAAGGTAGTATAAGACAAAAATACTTAGAACATTTCAAATTAGATTGGTAAAAGAAATCCCCTAACACTTAAAAAATAAAAGTTGAATTCCCTATGTGTAGTCATTTCAACACTTTTATATTATGACATAATGATACTATCAAACAATAGAACAGTGTTCCATTTAAGTAAGGACATAAAACTGAATTAAAACTTCTGTTTTTAGTTTTATCTATCAAAACTGAATTTTCTCTCTCCCATAAATGGATTAAAGAATTTTATTGAATTCTAAGCATGCTAAATACTAAGAAATAATACACTAGTACAAAAATGAAAAATTTAAGTTTATTTGAAAAACTCAAATTTTAAAGAAACCTGAAAGATGGGTTAAAATGTTAACCTATTTGCTATCTTTTTTCTTTTTTTTTTTTTTTTTTGCAGAACTGGAGATTGCACTCAGGCCCTTGAGCTTGTAAGGCAAGCGCTTATTCTACTGAGCTATCTCCCCAGCCCCTCTTTTCTATGTCATAAAAGTTGTTTTTTTTTTTTATTTTTTTCTACTTAAATTAATTTACTCTGATAATGTGAAAACAAAGTTAAGAAAATCAAATAATAGAGACCAGGTTTTATATGTGAAAACTGAATTGCTGAATTTGAATGTTTTACAAATTGTAGAACAGAATAAATATTTGCAAACCACCTATTTGACAAAGGTTCAAACTCTAAAATATCTACTAACATTTTCTAGCTTGATAGTTGAAAAGAATTCAGTTTGAAATTAGGTAATAAAAACACAGAGATTTTTTCCAACAAAGAGAACTGAAGGTGGCAAATGAGCACCTTAAAAACATTCAGCATTAGGCCAGTGAGATAGCTCAGTGAACGTGCCTGCTTAGGCAAGCTTAGGCAAATGCAGGGATCATGGTTTGATCCCCAGCACCACATGCCACACCAGCCCCACCCCCTGGTGGGCTGAGCTGTCCTGAGTCTGGGGCATAGTGGCCCATGCCTGTAATTCCAGCAGTGGGGAGGCTGAAAGCAGGACAATCACCACAAGTCTGAGCTACTTAAGGAGACCCTGCAACAACCAAATACATTTAAAAAAAAAGATAAAAATACTCAATATCTTTAGTCATTAAAAAAATGAAAATAACACACAAAGCACTCCATACATCTACCAAAATAAAGTTTTTTTTGAAGAATGTTTAAGAAGTGTTACTAGACATTGAAGGATTCACATATTCTTCAATGAGTAAATGGCCAAATGGGGGTACGTCCATTCACACAACACTATCAGCAATGAAGAGGAATGAACTGTTCCTATAGCAATGGCTTAGATGAGTCTTATCTGAGTGAAAAGTTTACATAATGTGTAATTCTGTTCATAACATTATCTAAAGTGATAAAATTATAAACATATAGGACTAGCTGGTGGGTAGCAGGCTTGGGGATAGAGGAGAGAGGTGGACAGAAATTGGAATAGTTATACAAAGGCAACATGTGGAAATCTTTTGACGATGGAACTGTTCTGTATCTTGACTGGTGGCTGTATGAACCTACATTTGGCTCA